TGTGCAACATTGCATATTTTGTGTGTTCAATATGCACCTTGAAGCGTTTCTTAGTTAAGTGCCTTGCATGAAGGCATCATTTCATAAAATATTCTGCACCCATTGCTGTACTAGAATGACAATTGAAAGGAAATTTTTGATATATTTTCTGTTATACCTATATTTTATTGCAGTGTTTGTAATTTGCTTATCAGTTGTTTTCATGTGTTATTTTTTTAGCAACAATAATTTCCTTATTATTCATTATATCTGTGAAAAATCGTTTTTTAACAGTATTGATGTGACAGTTTCTATTTCAATTGAAGAGAGGGTCTTGGCGGGCAAGGCAGATGTTACAGAAGTCATACCTTTTAAAGTTTCCAGGGCTTAGCAAAAAAAAAAGCGGTGGAGTGGAGCGACACAAAATTTGTATGACCTTTCCAGGCTTCCATTTTCCTTCCTATGTTTCCATTTTTGGCGGCACAGGCGCAGCACGGCACTCTGGCAGCATCGGCACAGTGGCAGCTTGGTGCTCCGGTGCCACCAGCACAGCACGGCACCCAGGGACGCAGGCAGAGCTTTGGCAAGGGCGGCTCAGGGTTGATAAAGGGCCCCCTGATAGCAAAATGGACCCCCAAAAATCGCTTGATGACATTCTTGTTGAGGATATGCCAAGCCATGTTTGTCTTGATGAGTTCAACATTTATTCAGAATTGATTAGTGGCACAATTTTTAACTTAGTTTTAAGCATACGCGCTCGCATATCTTAGTAACAATAAGCTCGGCGCCGAGCATTGCAGTCTTACGCCGCGCAGCGTCGGTCCCGCGGATAACACTAGGTTGTGGCCAACAAGTGAACAAAAATGGCAGTGCATTTTAAAGAAGCACCTTTGAAAGCTTTCGGACGTCACATCGTGCACTTGGAGATATTCCTGGCGTACATTTCACTTGTGCGATTTTTAGATTGATGACAATAGCGTATTGATCTTTACAGCACCGCGAAATGGTGCTGGAATCTGGGGATGGAACTGGAAGAGTTACGGTAGAGTCTCTTTTTTGGCGCCGTTACTGTTAATCTGTTTAGAGGACATTATTTAAGCTGAAAATAAAGATTCATCTAATGTAAACTTTGAACTGTAGGAATTAAGTTTGCAAGACATTCAGAAGCTTATTTTTCGATAGTCGTTTTTGGGCGATCGGCGTCCACCCCTGGCGTTACTTGCAGTGGCCAATGCCCTTCGGTTTTACGAAAACTGCGACCCAAGCCATCCCCATCATTGCTCTCCGAGATAACGGGCGTGTCATTGGGGCTACATGGTGCCGCCAACCTCTCACTCTGGCGGGAAGAGCGGGCACCGTGAGAAATGGGGCCCCGTACCTGTGGTTTCCCAGACGCACAGTGGTTAAAGCAGGCACGTTAACCACTACACTATCGGTACCCGGCACGCAGGCTGAAACCTTTTGAGGATATTTGTTTCAGCAGTCGATTATGAAAAAATTGGCGTTCTCAGGGAAACATGGGATGGCCTTGTGCGTTTTGAACTCATTTTGACAACTTCATTCAACACTAATGAGACCCCATATTTATTTCCGGTAAAGGTGCCCCTTAAGTACAGCACTACGGGGCGCGCTGTTATTCCCGGTCAAGAGCTGAAGAGTCATTCTGTCCCACCGCGGTGTGTTTTCCGCCCCTCATTCTGGCGACACAGGGCGGCATCCCCTGGCCGATCCAGAAGCCCTTAGAGGGATACATCCCATCCCATTGGTCCGCTCCCTGACACGGGAGCGCAGTGACCCACGCACGCAGACCCACGTGAATGACCCAGGGGAATCCTTGTTTTGTTCTGACCCATGCAGCTGACCCCGGATCGACGCATGAACCGACAGTAAGCCAACATTATTCTTGCTCGTCGCAGGTGGTCAAATAATTGGCACATAGACTCCAGTTAGGCTTAATGGGCACCGTGCTGGAGAAGGGCTGGAGGGCCCACCATTCGGTGCTGAAGGGGGGGGGGGGGCTGAACGGCACATTTTGACAGGATTCTTCGATTACCTCAATGCGAGCACTCATAAGTTTGTATGCTTCCTTTAATTGTCAGAGGGCCCTTAACAACACAAGATCCCTTTGCCATTCAGACTCCCGCCCCCGTCCTCGTTGAGCAAATCTTTCCCTGGTCAATTCGAGACCCCTTGTTGACACAGGGCCACAGTGCCTTGTAAGGCTCTGTTGGCCCCTGGACGATACAGGAGTCCGACCAATGTAAGTAGCGGGCCCAGTCTTGTCTCTGCTTGGGAAATGGGTCCCCAGAGCTCAGACCAGTATGGAGCCGACTGTTTGTTGTTTGCGATCTCTCGCCGAAACAGAGGAACGCTCTGTGTCAGGAGTCCCTAGCAGTGCAAGCAGTCATCCCACTGACATTTACACGACCACTACACGGCTCTAGGGGCTTGGAGCCTTAATGTAACCTACAGCCAGCTATTCGGACCTTCAGCCATCCCATCGGGCCCTTGATCTTTGGTCTCGAGAGGCCCTTCGGCCCCTGTTCGGGTCCCCTCAAACACCGCTCCAACTCGAAGCCACTTGTCACCACAGGATCCCTGTTCGGCACTGTGGCACTTACCCAACGCAGGAGCCCCGTTATGCCGTTTCAGGGGCCCCGATCATCGAAAACCACAGACCCCCGCCTCGTTTCTGCTTGGGAAATGGGTCTCAAGGGCTCAGACCGACAAGGAGCCGACTGTTCGGTGTTCGTGGTCTCTGACAAACTTAGACAACCGCATTGTCTCAAGGGTTGCTCAAACAGCGCAAGAGAACCTCTGACTGATATTTCACATCACCACCCTGCGGGCCGCGACTCTTATTATGACTTACAGGTCAATGCTTCGGGCCCTTATGCCCCCCAAACAGAACTTTGGTCATCGGTTCCGGTGGGCCGCCAGGGCCCGTCTTCAGGCCTCATCAAACACTTCCCTTGGTCGGCGCGGGGCCCCTGTGAGCACAGGGCCTTTTGTTAGGCGGTTCATTAAACAACAGTGTACATCAACTTCAGTGTACTTCAGTTGTCGGGATATCCGTCGTCAAATAATGCAGTGTGAACTGTGATATCACCAGCAATTTCAGATTTTGACCATGAAAATAAGAAAGGGGAAAATCTTAAAAAGAAAAGTGGAAAATGTCGAGGCATTCCATTCACTTTCAGTCAAAAGGACATCGCTTAGTCACAGGTACAATTTTTATACGATGCAGCTCGCACAGGCCACTCTTCCTGCAAACTTAGTGATTCTAAACGTGTTAGTCAGGCGACCGCAATCATTGTCACACTCATACGGACTGCACCTAGAAACAAAGGACTTTGCAACCCTCGGTCGGTGCTACCATACACTATGACATCTTTTTCAAAACCGTTCGAAAATATGACCCATTTTACCCCATTTCGACCTCTCTTGAAAACTATTAGGAAAATTGAGGAGTTATTGTCAGGGAATCACTTTACTGGCATCCGTACCTCAAATTCCGCCAGGATGCCAGGCGAAAGAAAAGGGATAGGTAAGGCCGCTGACCTATAGCAGGTCAACGTCAGACCGTGGCTGTCAACGAAGGCCATTTCTAGGGAATCGTTTAATCTGGTGGGACAACGGAGTGTTGGGCTAAGCGATGCGTGTTTGAGATAGTTTCTTAGGAAATAAACCAATAGAATTCAGAATTGCAACAACTAACGCTGACTTTAGATCAGGTATGAAGGCCAAACAGCGATCAAAGCTAGGCTGCTCGTTTACTCGAGAGTTGATTGATGAGGTAGTTGCTGGTGGTCATTACGAATTTTTAATGACAGAGATCGTAACAGATATGTTCCATGAGGTTTTCAAAGGTAAGTTAAGGCCACTGACCTTTGAATGAATGGGGTTACTATTTTGTTTTTAGGAATGCACCGCCTAGTTTAAGCCCTTATGCGTGTTTAGATAGCAAAGTAGGGGCAATCTCTTAGGTTTTTGGTCACATTGAGCTGTTAAAGGTCAACCAGGGTTGAATCAACCTTAAATTAGCACCGACTGAGTTTTAATAAGAACATGTATCTAAGCCCACGACGGTTGCATTAGGTCTGGGACACTTCGGACACCAATATTTTCACAATGTTTAACTTTATTTGACCCCAAGGTCTTGATCTACAAACCTGAACCTTTGACACAGGCTAGTCCACACTCAAATTAACCGACCCTCTAAACTTAGCGTCTCTAGCAGTCTTAGTTCTTAAAATCTCAGGAGGTCAAATTGCCTTCCCCTTCCAGCGCGAAGGGTAATTAAGTCGCCACCCTTGCGCGTCGTTAATACAGGTTAAGATTTTATGCGAGATTCACGCCCCAGCTCACTGGCGTTCGCATCATTCCTAGTGAGTTTGGATCGTCTGTCGTATCTGCAAACCACAAAGATTCTGAGATTCTCCCCTACAATGAATATGAAGTGTGTGATTGCGTTTCCCCGCTACACACTGTTTATGCAATCATCACTGCGTTATGTTCGCACAGAGGAATGAGACGCACTATGAAACGGACTCGGAACAAGTGCGTGTTAAACGAGGCGATGCCCTTGTACATCCGCGTCGATGCTCCCGCCCGGCAGGATACGAGCGCAGTCTGCCGGGCCTCCCCCGGTATCGTTGATGCTCCCCGCCCGGCAGGATACGAGCGCAGTCTGCCGGGCCTCCCTCGGTGTCGTTGATGCTCCCCGCCCGGCAGGATACGAGCGCAGTCTGCCGGGCCTCCCCCGGTATCGTTGATGCTCCCGCCCGGCAGGATACGAGCGCAGTCTGCCGGGCCTCCCCCGGTATCGTTGATGCTCCCCGCCCGGCAGGATACGAGCGCAGTCTGCCGGGCCTCCCCCGGTATCGTTGATGCTCCCCGCCCGGCAGGATACGAGCGCAGTCTGCCGGGCCTCCCTCGGTGTCGTTGATGCTCCCGCCCGGCAGGATACGAGCGCAGTCTGCCGGGCCTCCCCCGGTATCGTTGATGCTCCCGCCCGGCAGGATACGAGCGCAGTCTGCCAGGCTTCCCCCGGTATCAGGTGCTGGGCGACGCTGGCTCGGGGGTGCACGACCTCGAGGTCACCAACGCGACCCTGGAGGACGACGCCTGGTTCCAGTGTCAGGTGTCGCCCAGCCAGGGCCAGCCCGCCATTCGCGCCGCCGCTTTCCTCACTGTTCTCTGTGAGTACGAGACGGCCGTCTGATAATGACGCGGAGGGTGGTCCGGTTACCATGGACCTGTTGCAGGTGTACTATGCTGCGCTGTTTGTTCTCTGTGCTTATGGTACGGTCGTCTGATAGCGACGCAAAGGGTGGCTCAGTTACCATGAACCTATTGCGGGTGTATCGCGGTGTGCTGTTTGTTCTCTGTGAGTACGAGACGGCCGTCTGATGGTGACGCAAAGGGTGGCCCGGCTTCCGTGAACCTGTTGCGGGTGTATCGTGCTGTGCTATTTGTTCTCTGTGAGTATGAGTCGACCATCTGATGGTGACGCAGAGGGTGGCCCGGTTACCATGAACCTGTCGCGGGTGTATCGTGCTGTGCTGTTATGCTTTCCATGCTGTTGTCGTCACGTGACTGTCTTTGGCTTACTTATAATGCCTAAGGTTATCTTTCTGCAGTCAAGTAAATACCAGAATTTGTTGGCACGAATTGCTAGAATCGACTGTTTTAGTTCACCGGAGCTTGCGAATACTCCAACAGCTGACTCCGAATCAAACTAACAATCAAACGACTTGCCCTCTGTACTTCATTGTTCTGAGATTCGCTAAGAGCAGATCACTATGATCTTGCCAGAAACAAAGTAGCGTTCTGTAGGCAACACTCATTTTAGCATCAACACTCACGTTAGCATCAAACCCAAGTTAACATCTCTATTTTATTTTCATTTACACAACCAATTATTATAATCGTCGCTGACAGGCCCTAAAATGTGGAAAGATGTTGAGTGCTACTTCAATTGGCGATGGAATGACGTGTTTTTGGTCATGTTAGCATGCATCAACGACGAAATTTAGCAGTTCAGAAGCATGAAACAAACTGAAATAATTCAGCTCTAGGTAGCTAACTTTTCGCAATCCAAAAACCGCATGACGCCTCCAGCTGACCTCCCTGAGGTGTATTCAGACCTCTGACTGGTCCAGCTACGGCGTCATTGGGTGCTGCGTGCCCACCGACACCACAACCGACGTCACCGCCGGCAGTGAAGCCGCTGTCCGTGTTGGTGACGTCATCGGCCCGCACGCCTCGCCCGGACGTGTACGAGGTCAGGGAGGGCAGCTCGCTGACCTTGCAGTGTGACGTCACCGAGGCCAAGCCGGCGGCCACCGTCCAGTGGCAGCGCAACGGCGCCATCTTCCGGCCAGGTGGGCACGACGTCCGCTGGGCGTGATGCTGCGCACCCTCGCTGGCAGGCCGGGGACTTGTGACGTTGTCTAGGCCTGTCAGTTTCGAACTGAAGGTCAAAGAAATACCTGGTGCTTTGGGTTTTATATCCAGCGCATGCGTACATGTGAAGTATTAAGAAACCAATCGTGTGAAGCTCAGCTTCACCTACCTGACCTGGCCTGCACCGCACTGACTCGTACCCGCCCACCGCCCCCCCCCCCCCTCCCCCACCTGTCACAGACCAGGAGGTGACGTTCTCGGAGCCGGACAGCCCGGAGCGAAACGATACGAGCTCCAGCATAACGCTGCAGCCCACACACGTGGACAACGGCGCGGGCTACTCGTGCCTTGCCCGGCACCCGGCCGTGAGACCGGCCGAGCAGCACCTCTACAACGCCACCGTCACTCTCTCGGTGCTCTGTGAGTGGGCTCCGAGCCACCCTGGGTCACTGCGCCTCGCGGAACAGAAGGCAGTGGGCTTTGGGCCACCCTGGGGCCCTGCCCCCTCCCCCCGCGAAACAGAAGGCAGTGGGCTCTGGGCCACCCTGGGTCCCTGCGCCTCGCGGAACAGTAGGCAGTGACCTCTGGGCTACCCTGGGTCCTTGCGGCCCACGGAACATTAGGCAGCGGGCTCTGGGCCACCCTGGGTCCCTGCGCCTCGCGGAACAGTGGGCAGTGACCTCTGGGCTACCCTGGGTCCTTGCGGCCCACGGAACATTAGGCAGCGGGCTCTGGGCCACCCTGGGTCCCTGCCCACCTCCCGCGAAACAGCAGGCAGTGGGCTCTGGGCCACCCTGGGTCCCTGCGCCCCGCGAAACAGTAGGCAGTGGGCTCTGGGACACCCTGGGCCCCTGCGCCCCGCGGAACAGTAGGCAGCGGGCTCTCGACCACCCTGGGTCCCTGCGACCCTCGGAACGGTAGCAGGCGGGCTCTGGGCCGCCCTGGGCTCCTGCGCCCCGCAGAATGATAGCCAGTGGCGACGGTGGGTGCTGGTGCTTACGGAGGAGTCGTTCGCGCGATGGGGTTTCGTGTGGGGTGTGTCACCTCCGTGAGAAGTATCCGTGTATCATTGGTTGTGCGTGTTTGTCACGGTGGCCAATATCACCACTACTGGGCATAGATCCGATGATACCACACAAAGCTCAACTTAATGCCTGGTGGTTATGATATATGGTATCATTGTCTGTTTCTACAACGCAACATTGTATTGCATACAGGCCACCTAGGACACACATGAAGTAAATCGTGAGTGGGCACGACCGGTTGTATCCACGAGTGAATGCGCAAAAATCATCTTACATTTAGGGGCATAACACAGGTCCTCAAGAGCCTGCTTGTGCTCGATACCGTCGATAACCGCACTTCATAAGCCCATCAGAACTGAGCGCACGTCTGCCGCAGACGCGCCAGGACCGCCGGAGATCGTCGGGTATGAGGAGGACGAGGTGGTGCGCATGGGCGAAAAGAAGACTCTCTCGTGCATTTCCCGCGCCGGAAACCCGTTGGCCGAGCTGGTCTGGTTCAAGAACGACGAGCCCATCACGTACCAGTACCGCACGATCCGCGGCCGAGCCATCTCGGAGTACTCGTTCAAGGCGGAGGCGTCCGACCTGCACGCCATCTATCGGTGCGAAGCGTCATCGATAGTTCACCCGCAGCCGATGGTGACGTCGGTGCAGATGAATGTTCAATGTGAGTCAAAATCTGCCCTTTGGTTTTCATGTGATGTGGCGGATGGATCGTCACGGGATTTAAGTTAATCGAACCTTGGTGTGCCAAATTGAACAAGCGTGTAATACAAGCGCGTCAGCTGCGTTGATACATGAACACGCATGGTGGAAGGATTGAGCACATTAAAAAAATCCTTTTGGTGTGACAGCTCACTCACATGTAACCATTCCACAATCGCCTTCACAAACGAATGTGAAGCAGTGATAGGTATCATAAAGCTGGTGGCATGCAATCTGAACATATCGATTCCCGTGTGTATTTTGTCACGCGGCGTAGAACATGCATACGGCCGTGACCCACCTCGCGTAGGGCTGGCTCACCGAGCTGTAAATCGCTGAGTCTGTGCGCGCTGTAAAGGGCACACGATCTGTTCCGCGCCAGAAATTGCACAGGCGACGTTCGCGCCGGTCGGATTTTGCCCTCAGCAATGTGTGCACACAAATCATAGAATGGGTGTGTGTATAAGGATGAATGTGTGGCCCGCCTCGCCGCCGTCTGGTAGCCTCAGCGCTCTCCGAGCGTTCGCGTTCCAGTCGGTCCCGAGACGGTGGAGGTGACGGGCACGGAGGAGGCCAAACGGGGCGAGCCGGTCGAGCTCTCGTGCACCACTTCCAGCAGCAACCCGCCGGCCAACATCACCTGGGTCATCAACGGCCGCACCGTCACCAATGTGCGTCTGCGGGCTGGAGGCGGCACCTGGTCCCTCTCTCTCTCTCTCTCTTCTCTCTCTCTCTCTCCTTCTTCTCTCTCTCCTCTCTCTCTCTCTCTCTCTCTCTCTCTCCTTCTCCTCTCTCTCTTCTTCTCTCTCTCTCTCTCTCTCCTCTCTCCTCTCTCTCTCTCTCTCCTCTCTCTCTCTCTCTCTCTCTCTCTCTCTCTCTCCTCTCTCTCTCTCTCTCTCTCTCTCTCTCTCTCTCTCTCTCTCTCTCTCTCTCTCTCTCTCTCTCTCTCTCTCTCTCTCTCTCTCTCTCTCTCTCTCTCTCTCTCTCTCTCTCTCGGCGCGACGCCGTGCCTGGCTGTCATGGCGCGCGTTGTTTATCTTTCACTAGGTGCAGCAGATCCGTTCTGGGGCACCCACGTTATTTGCGCAGCGAAGTGGGCTTTTGGCAGGTATCTGTCATTCGTTCCAATCATCTGTTGAACATGATCTCCACACTGGGGTGCACTCACATAGCGATCCCAGAGTCACGTGCCACCCCTTATCGACATTTTGCACGCATTAGCATGTGTGCTCAAAAACGTCGGTCATATAACCTCGTCGCACAAATTCGAGAATATGCGGCGTTGTATTACACCCGCATCAAATTTTGCCAGCTGTTAACAACAAAACTTTGAGCTGCATCCCACCCACCCCATCCACACTGCGACATCCTGCACACGCCCCTGCTTCCCGCTGGCTGAGCTTATCCGGCTGTCGCCACTGTTCATTAAGTAGCAACTTGTAGTAATCCTCTATCACGCGGATTGCAGCAGGGAAGCCGGGACGCAAGCAAGCAATGCGTCTCGAACCCACGCCCATATCCCAGACTTAGCCCACCAAAGAAGTGCATCAGTATGGTGTCGAAGTGGGATGAGTCGTTAAACCAGCGAACTTTGCAATAAGCCTGCAGTAAATTTTGGAAGTTGTGGGACGCGTTCACCCCTGAATAACACAATGCATTATTTCAGACGTCCCACATTATCGAAAGCCACCCGGACGGAGGGTGGGTGTCGAAGTCGAACGCCTCGTCAGTCGTCCCTGACACCATGAGGGAGGACATGGTGGTCTCGTGTTACGCTCTCAACCCCGCACTGGGCCTGACCGAAGTCGGCACCCTCAAGGTCACCGTGCTGTGTAGGTGACTCGTCACACCTCTCGTGAACAAAGCCGTCACAGCTGGGTCCAGTCATGCGGTTGAGGATGTGTTAAAAGAGACATCCCAGCAACCAAAGTTACAGTCATGTCTGCTTCTCCTCATTAACCAGCGCCAAGAAGCTCGATATTTTTAAAATATAAACCTTGACTACATTCGATTAAAATAAAACGCAGCTTATTTACTGCCCCTTTTCAGTGAAACCAATCTCATCAACTCCTGCCACCGCGGACCCTAGCGTCCCCGACCGGTGGAGCAGACCCTAGCGTCCCCGACCGCTGGAGCAGACCATAGCGTCCCCGACCGGTGGAGCAGACCATAGCGTCCCCGACCGGTGGAGCAGACCCTAGCGTCCCCCGCCCAGTGGGGCAAACGCTAACGTCCCCGTCCCCTTGTGGCAGACTCTAGCGGCCCCGCCCGGTGGAGCAGACTATAGCGTCCCCGACCGGTGGAGCAGACCCTAGCGTCCCCCGCCCGGTGGGGCAGACCCTAGCGTGCCCGGCCCGGTGGGGCAGACCCTAACGTCCCCGTCCCCTTGTGGCAGACTCTAGCGTGCCCGCCCGGTGGAGCAGACCCTAGCGTCCCCGCCCGGTGGGGCAGCCGCTAACGCTCCCCCACCCTCGTACGGCAGATCCGCCGAAGCGGCCGCGGATCCTGGGATACGTGCCGGGCACGCACCTGCGCGCCGGCCAGCGCGTGTCGCTCTCCTGCGTGGCGCAGGGCGGCAGTCCGCCGGCCTCGCTCTCCTGGTACAAGGGCGACGACGAGCGCGAGGCGGAGACGAGCGAAGAGGACGGCGTCGCCCGCGGCGTCATCACCTTCGCTGTCGACTTTACCGACAACGAGGCGGTGTTCCGCTGCGACAGCACCAACCCGGCCATGGACAAGCCGCACAGCACCAACGTTACACTGCTGGTGTACTGTAAGTACGGCTGGTGACGCACTCCGCCAATGTCACGCCAGTGGTATACTGCATGCACGGCTGGTGAGGCACTCCACCAATATCACGCCAGTGGTGTACTGTAATGCTACAATCCTCCAACGTCACGCTAGTGGTGTGCTGAAAATACTGGGCGGTGGTTGGATTGGGTATGACAGTGCTGGAACGGGACCCGAGAGCGCGTCACCTTTTCCGGGCCGGTCACCCGCGCATGACCCATTATGAATCTGGTCTCGGTCTTATTGGCTGCGTCTGCAGACAAAATGAACCATGGGGCTCATGGTGTTACAAATACCTTTATTTCGGCAGCAAATGTGCTGTACGCGCGTCGGTGTCTGACAAAACAAGACAGGGGTCTAGACGCTGCCGTTGTCTGCGGGGTTGTCTTTTTAGGACCCTTGTGCACATACAGCTTCTAGTTTTACCACAACCTGTTGCAAAGTGTTTAGCCCACGAGCGTTCACTGTCATCACCGATTGCGGCGAAGATCGATCGCCGACGCGCCGGACGTTATGACACGTACCGGTCGGTGACCGCGTCTGACCCACTCCCTGCACCGCGCAGACCCTCCGGCCAGCCTGAAGCTGAAGGCCAAGCCGAAGAGTCTGGCGGCGGGCATGCGAGCCGTGCTCACGTGCGAGTCACGTCCAAGCAACCCTGCAGCTAACCTCACCTGGTGGCGTGACAGCGAACTAGTGACGCGGGGCGTCGCCAGGCTTACCAGCAAGCCCGCCGGCGACCACGGCGGGTGGGTGGGTTTCACACCGGCCACCGTTTGCGGCAGCCGCTGTGAAAGGCGGCGGATGCCGACATCAGATAACGTTCTTCTGCCATCGACTTTGATAAATGCGCGGAAGCCGTTGTCAGTTACCGTGTGTGATTAGTGATGCATGTATGTGACACCATGCTCCTGTTTGCACCGATCTGTTTCCTGTGTCTTAGCTGTCACCATTTCGACACCCGACATAGCCATAAGCGCCTGCTGTGTGTGTGCGCCTGCCGTGCGCCTGCAGTGGCTGTTGCCGGCGTACTCTCAGTGTGCAGTATGTCCGTCTCCTCAGCGCTCACCTCACCTTTCCCCGTCGGATGCCTCCGCGATGGGCCCGCGGAACAGCTTTGGCCGTCGCCTCGCCTGCCGACCCCGGCGCCTCCGGCGGCCTCCGACGCAGCCGTCCTGCCGGCTGCGAGCCCTGATCAGAGACATCGGGTGCTCTTATAAATGCGTTTTTATAAATGCGACATTTTTGCTTATTTCCAGTAGTTCCAGTAGTTTTAAGTTTAACTTTGGCCCGTAGGGACAAATTGAAATCTTCAGAAATCTGGGCGGTGGTTCAGCCCTCGTGGTACTCAGTCCTCAGTCCAGTTTAGTCCTCCTGGCACCTTTGGCTGCCACGTCCCTCATCGCGGTCGCCGCCAGTTTGCTGTCTGATGACGTAAGCTGGGAGCGTTGGGCGACCGCCCGTCCTGCGGACGGGGAGAGCGTCTGAAGCCGGCGTCTGTGTGCTCGGGTGGGCAGGTTCAGCAGCCGCGTGAGGCTGAGGAAGCGACTGAAGTGGACGGACGACCAGGCCGTGTACACCTGTCGCTCGCAGCAGGCCGTGCTGCCGGGCAACATGCACGACGCCATCACCCTGCACGTGGCCTGTGAGTCGGTGCGGGCGCTGCAGGGGGAGGGGGGGGGGGGGGGGGCGGGGGTAGGACAGCGGTAAATTTCGGGCGATTTGGTGCTTTTGCGTAGGTCGGGCGCCTGTGCTTCGGCTGCGAAGTACGGGTGCTGATATACACACCGGGATGGTGTCTCACCGGAGGGCTGTCCCATCGCGGCGTTTGCATGGGCCACCTCACACCTAAGGGGTTCGCCAGAAACGTGATCATATTGTATGTCCCAGCTGTGTCGGTTCCAAAAGTATCTGTTCCACTTCTATCGCGTACCCACCAGTCGTCTGACACCACGCCGTGAGATGACGGCTTTTGGCATGGGTTTGTGACTCCTGCACAAGCAGCTGCCGGCAGTCACGCTCCAGCAGTCTTCCGCACTGGTCTGGATCGGAACACCCCAGGAAGCGGTGCGCCAGGCTAACGCTCGCTCCGTGTCGCCCAGTCGCGCCCGTGTTCCCCGAGCCGTCGGCGACGGAGGACATCCACGCCGGCGATTCCCGCCTGCTCAACTTCACCGCTCGGGCCAGCCCGGACAACATCACCTACAGCTGGTACCGGGGTGCGGCGGCGCTGCCCGCCGAGGAGGCGCGCGTGGTCGGCCTCGGCGCCCTGCTCAACATCAGCCAGGTGGAGAAGAGCGACGCCGGCTGGTACCGGCTCGAGGCCGAGAACACCGAGGGCACCTCCACCATGCGCGTTAACGTCAACGTGCAGTGTGAGTGGAGTGCGTCAGGCACGCTGACCGAGGTGTCGCCGTGAGCTGTGTGCGGGGCCCCTTCACGATACGAGACGGACAGCTTCCGCAGCGGCGATACCGCCGCAAGGAATTGCGAATGCTGTCGTGAGACACCATTTATTTAATCGTGTTAGAAGTCTGAACTGCCATCCACCGGTCGAGAACCCATGGCCTGTACAGCCCATCGTGTCCGTACCCCCGCTGTGTCATAGCTCGCCATTTGGCGCTGGTCAGCAGTGTGGCATGCCGCCAGAGTTGAGACAACCACGCGACGGACGGAGGCTGACGCCTCGTGACGCCACCAGACGAGCCTGAGGTCACCGCCATCTCCCGCGAGCTGCTGGTGGCGCCTGGCGAGACGGCGCAGCTGGAGTGCGTGGCCGACGCCAACCCCACCACCGACGACATGATCACCTGGCACCGCGACGACTTCAGCTTCGACTCCAACAAGACCAAGACGTTCTACAGCAACGGCACGTCGTACCTGAGCGTGTACGGGGCAGAGCTGGCCGACATTGGCGAGTTCCTCTGCCAGGTGGACAACGGCCTGGGCGAGGTCAACGCCACAGCGGGACTGCTCGTGCAGCGTACGTGCCTGCGGCGGAGCGCGGCTCAGGCTGAGCGCGTGCCCGTGCGAGGACAGACGGGTCGCCGGTCTGCCGGGTCACTGTCGCCAGGAGCGGCGCCATGCCACCTGCTGGAGCGATGACACGGCGATGACCCTCGTGACGGCCGGGATAGACGTCGTGCTACGCTTGCATGCCGTAGTTTGAAGTTGATTGAGGGTCATATTTGGCAGATATATCAAATCTCAGCATATTCAGCTATGCCAAAGACATTCAGGTTTGGTTCTAAACCAGCAAATATCGCGTTAAGTGCAGCAACAGAAAGCTGTGTGTCATGTTCAGATGGACGTTAGCCGCCGCGATCTTGCTCACGCCTTTGACACTCGTTTTCCCCCACTGACCCGATCTCACACCTATGACCTCTCTCATCACCGGTTCCCCTCTGCTCCGGTAACAGGCCTCCCGTCGTCATCAGGTACTCCAGAATCTGAAACCTCCGCTTGTCACTGCTACCTAGCTGACGCTCCATTGATACCCCCTCCCCCTCGCCAGACGCGCCCGAGATCGATACGAGTCCGCAGCACCTGAAGGCGGCCGCCGAGAAGGGCGACACGGCGCGCGTCACGTGCCGCGCCCGCGGAGCTCCCAACGTCACGTTCGAGTGGTCCCGCCAGGGGGTCGTCATCGACGAGACGACTGACGCCGAGAAACACCAGCTGGAGTACACACGGGTCAGTGGGCCCGGCCGGCGAGCGGTGCTGCAGGCGTGTGCCGCCCCGTGTCTGTGGAGGGCCGTCATCAATGACCGTTGTCCGCCGTGGGCTCCTGGTGAACTGTGAGGTGCATACATGTGTGTGGAAAAGGCAGCGATGACCGAAGATGCGCAATAGCTCTCTTCGCGCAGATGCGTGAATGCTCCACGTATACGAGAGGGGTATTGACAGCGAAATTACAGCACCTTACAGTGTACAGTGCTGAAAGGGAAGCATAATAACTTCATAGGGTTCCGGGAATAGATATCATAGCCCGACATTAGTTACGGGCAGTCTTTACCTCGCGGTCCGCACTGGCGCTGGATGGGAGCCATCGTTCTCTGTTTGAAAGACTATTATATATTATATATTAGATATTGACGTCAAGGATCCGCCGCCCCAGGGCTTAACCCGATGTCCGCTGCACAGGTTGACCTGGTCACCTGGCAGTCGGTGCTGAAGGTGGTGTCGGTGGTGACGGCCGACTACGGCGAGTACGTGTGCGTGGCGCGCAACGAGCTGGGCTTCCAGCGGCAGCCGATCGTGCTGGGCGGCACCACCTCGCCCGACCCGCCGCTGGAGCTGCACGCCCTGAACGTGACGCACGACAGCGTGCTGCTCACCTGGACACCGGGCTTTGACGGAGGGCTGATCCAGGTGAGGCGACCGACTGCCCAGGCGGCCGGGCGGGCCGCCGGGACCCGGGGCGTGAGCGCTGCTGTGGCCTGCTCGCCGCCGGGATGTGACGACTGGATGGTGTTCTCTCGTCCGTCTGTTCGCGGTCCGGCGCCCGTCTGGCCAGAGCCCGGGTCACCCGATGTAGCTACGGTCCCGAAGAGGAGATCAAGGGCTTCGATCACTGGCATAATTAGATGCGCCATCGCCGGAGCAGGTGCGATCTTGTCCTGATCACATTCAGGTCACCGATATTCAGTGCACACGCTGTGAAACAGGCCCGTTGGTGGGATGTCGGAGTTCCTCATTGGATGCGTGGGTTTAACTCCCCTCTTGCGCCAAAGAGCAGCTGGGCGCGTGACGCTGTCCGCTGGGCACCTCGTAGCCACTTCGGTCTATTCGAATCCATATTATTCAGACTGATACCCTCCGGACCAAGACATGCACATCCGGATCATCCACATGACCTCATTTAGGTCCAGGACATTTAAATCCAGGGCACTGAGACTCAGGTGGCTTTGGCCACCTTGACTCAGGTCGTGTGAGGCGACCTGAATCATGGTGGCCGACACGTGGTTATCAAATAAGAGCGATATAAGAACTAAGATGAGACTTACGTGACTTACAATTACCACTGCTAAGTGCAAGGCGAGATAGCGAGAGAGAATGACAGTCTTGTATGATGTAGCACACCATCCTATGCGTGACCAACAAGCGGTTGCGAGCATTCTTTTAGAAGAGAGGCGCAGCTCTGTCCCAGCGATAATGTCGGTCTCCACTCAAGCTCCGAGAACGCGTGACAAAAGTGTAGCCGCAGTTAGCAAGACAGCATGCTCCTCAGAAGCGTGCACCGTCGACTGTGCTGCTGTTTGGATGATCCGCCCGCTGTGTGACGCCGTGCCAGCAGCGCAGTGGCGACATCCGCCGGCTCTGCCCCCACCCCGCAGCGCTACCGGGTCCGCTACACAGAGACAGGTGGGACCGGAGCGGTTCAGCTACGACGACGTGCAGCCGGAGAACGCCACCACGTTCCGGGTGGAGCTGCTGTACCCCAACACCGAGTACAGCTTCGCCGTCATGGCCTTCAATGAGCGAGGAGAGAGCGGATACACCAAGGACGTGGTCAAGGCCAAAACTGCAGGTGCCTGCTGTCTATCTGTAATCGTCAGTCAGGGGTTACCGCAAGCGATGTCGTGGACTGGTATGTCGTGCTGGCAAGTTGCTTGCATTGCTTGGGAGTGTAATTCACGAGACGATATGCCACCACGCTGCGTTACGACACATGCAAAAGTAGCGTTTCAATGAGGTTTCCAACTGCCTTTAACAACTGTCTTTACTGTATTCAGGCCAAAGATCTCGTGCCCATGCGCACCTTAAAAGCCTGCGGTAGCGATGACGTCACGCGCCCCCACAGACGGGCCGGGGGTGAAGTATGTGCCTGACGACGACTACGCCAGCGAAACGCTCTCGCGAGTGGCCATCGCCATGGTGACGGTGGCGGGCGCCATTCTCCTCGTCATCAACGTGGTGCTCATGAGCTGCTACGTCCGGCGGCGGCGTCTCATCCGCAAGGCGGGTACGTGCCGCGCCCTCGCGGAGGTCCCAGGGGCCACCGCCACAGGGTGGGGGCCAGGGTCGGGACGGTTGCGACTTTGCTGGGTCGCTCGCATTACACCGTCAATGAGCGAATCGTAATGATCAGGAGGATCGGCCGGATCAGGAGAAGCGATAGGCCGTGGAAAACTGGTGGGATATCGATAGGACCAGTTGGTCGGCGCGCGCATGGCTCGTCGCGATTTTCCGTCGGATCCAAGTGATCTCCCTCGAGCCCCGGCCTGTCACGTGCTCGCCTCTCATCGTGTCCGCCTTGTGACGGCCGTCGGTCCCGCGGCAGCCTCGAGTGCCGTCAGCACCGGCTCGGAGACGCTCCAGATGTCGGGCGGCGAGAGCCTCCGCTCGGCGTCCACCGCCGCCGACGATACCTACTCGGACGACGGCGACGACGTGAGTCATCGGGCGGCGGCGCCGGACGCTGACGAGCCCGGCTGGCGACGGCGTCACTCACCGATCGCTGGCTCAGAGCGAGCAGCACAACAAGTGTGTAAAACAACGTGTTTTAACTCCCATGCGATGCGTCTGAAACTGCTGAGATAACATAGCTCGGGAGAATGGCGGGTTAGGGTTTTGGTAACAACGGAAAGCTTAGGCGCATCTCGCTGTCATTTCTCACATCAAGCGTGGTCCGTTACTGTTGAGGAGGTCACAGGGCCTGTGCTGGTGCCGGTTACTGTCAATGTGTCACGAAGATGCCTACCAATGACACTGGCAATGTCTTGACCAGGACACGAGCAGCGATCAGGAGCACGACTCGTACTCGGGGCGCCGGTCCTCGCGGGCGGCGCTGAGCGACGGGCGCCCCGTGTCGCCGGCCTCCAACGGCTACGGCCGCACGGTCCGGCGCACGCCCTACGCCTACGACGCCGGCTACGACGGCCGGGGCGGGACGCACCCGTCGGCCGTGCCCACGCCCGACCTGGTGCCCCCGGGCGGGCTGGGCCGGCGGTACGGGGAGCAGCACTACCCGCCGCCCGGCGGCCCGTCCGACTGGGTCAACACATACGGGCGCACGCAGCTCCCGGGCAGCAGACGGGTCGCCACACCGGCGTCATCCATACGCGGCAATGTGGACTTTGAACAGCGCGGCCACTTAGTATAGGTGACGTTAGTGTCTGGCGTCGATCGGTTCTTGCTTGGTGAGAGGCCCTGAGTGTGGGATTTACTGCACTTCTGCGTACCAGTGGTGCATGCGGCAGATTGCCAGCGTGCGGCCCATTCAGCGACAGCTGAGAGCAGAGGGCGACTGATCTGATCGTCCATGAGCACCGCCAGGAGCCTCGTGTCACCGTTCTCAACTACGTCACTGGATGGCCTGCCCACGTTAACCTCCGCACGATTCGGGCTGTCGCCGCAGTCATCTGTTTCTCATACATCTTCCACAATATGCTAGACGCCTTGCATCAGCTGCTTTGCTAAGCCATACTGAGATTTTGTCCTGGTGATCCACTGGCGAAGCGCCCTTTTATTGTCATTGTCGCCGGCCCCGTTTGAGCGCCCGAAAAAGCACGGCCGCTGTATAGCAGGGCTCACTGTGAGCAATGCTCGGGAAGAGGGTGGCTACGGTAGCGCCATAAGTTCTACCTCTCACTCGATTCAATGAGCCCCGAAAGGGTCTGTCCGGGAGAGACGGTCTAGCACAACCCAACGAAACCGTAACGGTCGTTTATTTGAAGCTCGTCCGACCTGACGACGGGTTACCGTGATTCTTGGCCCGAGGTGACACTAAAAGACGTATTTAATCAATAGCTTGATAGCTTCCAGCGTTAGCTGTGCATTTGGTCATTAAGATTACGTAGCATCGATGCCATCCATGAGCAATATTTATCAACGGAGTTCATCAGGCTATCGCTACACGCATTGTACCGTGTAACCTGTAGCGTAGCGACGAGATGGCGCATGGCAGCGTTCCGAAAATACGTTACTTACCAAAATTGTGGTGTAATTCCTATCGTACTATATAACTGGCATGCATGTAAACATTACCACGTAATTGCACTTTTCACGGCTCTAGTCGGATATACGCTTGCTTTATATGTGATTTGTGCCGCGTATTTTCTGTTCGCAGCAGGTAACACAATCCAGATGTTCCAGTCATTTTAAGTACGATCAAACTGAAGGGACTTGATGACGCCCAACCCGTCTCGCGGGTCGGGTGACTGCCAGGCATGGGTTTTGTAATCGATGTGGTGCGGCACGAATAAATGGGATCGTATAAAGTGCTCGTTACTCTTACAGAAGTGAGCTGAATGTTATCGAGGATCAGTTACGTGGACCAGTGGCCAGCTGTACAATGAAGCTGTAACAGATGCTAGCAGGTTGAAACCAAGCATAAGTCAGCGCTTGTCACGAAATTTTATGATGCAAACTATCATTAGATGCGAATGGTTGCCTTATGCAAACCTTTTCGATGGGAACTTCTTCGTTATGCAAACTACTGCGATAGGCACACATGCCTTAGACGAACTTTTGTCACACATAAGTGTTTGCTCTAGGCCAGCTCCGGCCACATGAACGTTTGTCCTGGGTGAACTTTTGTCATATTCGAACTTTGGCCCTGGGCGAACTTTATGGAGACGAAATCACATGAGATGAACTTTTGCCCTAGACGAACTTCTATCCGGCGAAACTTTGTTCACGCAACTATTGTCCAACGAACTACGGTTCCACCAGCTACGGACTGCTGTTCTGCAAGTCTTTGTCCAGCCACCTTTTCCCCAGCAACTCATTTGCTCGTCTAGCCCTTCGTAAACACGTTGATCTTACCAACCGATTCAAGCTCAGGTCTATTGTCATCGTCCCTGTCATCGCTAAGATTGCAGGGCCTACTGCCCACCAAAAGATTAGGGACTAGCTGTCCCAGAACGAGACATGTGCATTAAGTCTCTAAAAAAACTCGGGATCCGATCTAAGGACCCATAAGCATGGAACCTTCTGTGACCTTCTATCCACCGTGGGGTTCCAGGCACATGTCCGCCCAGAAGCCGTTCCCGTCGCCGGCTCAGCAGAGCTTGCGCCTCTCTGAATCGATGGAAACCATGCTGCTATCCATATCTGGCCAAGTCCTGTCCACCAACAACAACGGGGAGATGTTCCTACATGGCCGCTAGATTTGAGAAGTCCTGCGACATGACAGACAACGTGCTATCCTGTTCACCGACTTACGACTTCACCAAAGCGGTGCTTATTGGTTTCAACGTAGGCTTGAAATCACCCACACAGCGCCACCTGGAGGACCTTTAGGAAATAGCAAAGTGCCTACGTCATTCCCCGGTAGCACTGTTGTCAAGCAGGATTTCAAGCTCTTACCTTGAGCTCCGTGCGCCACCACGTCTCACCAATAGCCACAGTCAATTCACTGAGGGTGCAGCAGCCGCAGTAGACGTCCAAAATGTTATGTTACTGTCGTCGCCTCCCTGATCCAAACCCAACAAATCGTGGCTGACGATTGCCTTTGATCTCAACCCCAGCTGGACTTCACGCGCTTCGCGTGCCGCCGCTGTTTCGGTATCTTGGTCGGTCATCTGAAGCACAGCCTGCCTGTCGGTGTCCCAACCGCCCTGGTGGACATTTTGGTTCAGTCACAGGTCCCTTATTGCACAGAAGTGAAGGCAGCGGCTCACAGCTCAATCCGTTCAAGATTCAAAAGGTGCTAAATCTTGCTGCGAAACTCATTTTGAAGATACCTGTTGTCCATTTTTCAAGACGTTTTTTTTCTTCCCCTACCACCAGTTACGTTTTACACATCATAAATGCACGCCATGCTTGCAAGTGACAAAACGAGGTACCAACGCAACCGGCAACTTTCCCGCCCCCCCCCCCCCCCCCCCCCACCCCCCCCCCCCCCACCCTCCCGACTACAAACCTTTGTAGGTGCATCTATTGACCCAATGGGTATACGATTTACCGCGCCTTCTGTCCACTCTGCTACATTTTCCAAAACGCCCAACGATGCAGAGTACTTCAAATATCAGAGACCCGACCGACTGCACAGCGTCCTCCCACAGTCTTAAGGCACGGAATTTACGCCCGACGCCCGGCACACCACGAGCGCGTGATGCTCCGCACGAGATATAGTACGCTCATCTACCGCCTTTATTGCGCCCATTCATACGTTTGCACTACCACCCAAACAACGAACTTTTCCAAAGGTTGTAGACATTGGTAAATGGTCATCTGTTGAGAAGACACGGATCAAAAGCAATCTTCGCGCTCACTGTGTGTGAACATTGCAATGCTGCCCAGATGGCCAGTTGAATGACGGAAATAGACGCCTTGCCAGGAACATGATCTGCGAAGAGTATGGACTAGTACGGTTACCAGGAGCACAACCCGGACCACCATTGTAGTACAATCTCACCAACCGAGGAATACATCGGCATCGCACATACATCGTCGAGGTCGTCTGGGCGTGGTACCAATAACTGCCGATACAACCCTAATATGGGCTTGGCCTTGCGTCTTCATCCGTGTAAAATGATTCGGCGAAGTCAGATGCAACTCAGCACAGGGTAGACGGGTTGAATGGTGGTAAGAAGGCAGCAATATTCCGCCGCCACAGAAGTACATTGGCAGCAAAACCATTTCACGGCGTTCTTTTTCTACTAGTCCATAGGATTCACGTGGTATAGTCCCGATTCTCACAAAGCTGTGGATCGAATTCTTTCAGGCCATTTTTGACGAATCTGGCACCAAACAAAAGATTGTTGAATTGTCTTCAGCCGATCCATTAAGCATTTAGTAACAGGAATGTGCGTCACAACAGTAGGAATGTTGTCAAAAAGTTGTACTTAGCTTACGTCAGACCACACCTAATGTATTGCGTGGAGGCGTAGTCCCCATCCTTCAAAAAAGAGATATATATAGGGGCCGAAACAAGTACAGCGAGAAAGGACTAGGATGAAAAATGGGGCTGGCGACTTAGAATAAAAAGATAGGCTCAGGGTCTTGGATTTATATTCACTAAAATATCGTACAATAAGAAGGATACGACAGACGTATCAAGATTACGAAAAAGATAAATTAAGTAGATCTACATGAAGCACTGTAAATTAGGCCAATGCTTGGGGGAAACCAGTTTCGTTTAGCAAAAGGTAGGTATATTACTATGAAGAGGGAGGTGTAATTTAGTCAAAGAGTAATGAATCATTGGAATGGGCTATCAAACAAAGGTTGAGGAAGTCTCTCTCAAGCCACATTCACAAATCGTTTGGACAAGTTCTAACGGTTTCAACATCTCATTTATAGCCTAATTCGTGCAGTTCAGGTGGTAAGATTGGTTTCAAGATAGGTGTGGAACCTGAGGCGGGCCAGCCTCGTGGACCCCTGAGGCTTTTTTCCAACCATATGTTGTTATGTCTTTATATCTTTATGTCTGCGATGAAATAGGCGTACCAAAAATGAATAATATAACCACACTGAGTGAAATACGTACATATCAGCTAACCGCAGTGCGCATGCAGACATGAAGCGCGCCAGGAAGTGCGCATGTCGGACATGGTTCTCAAACTGACAGAGATACGTGCATGCCATGAGGCGCGACCCGCGCAGCATTCCGTCAAGTTGAGTTACATACGACTTACGCGCTAAGTTGCATCCAGCATGGCACGCACTCATTTGGACAACTACAGCACACCTGAATAAACGGGATGCAAAGAGTTGAGTGAATGACAAAATGCGATTGGAATCATTCATTGCCTTTGAGAACAAGTACGGCACGATAAAGATTTGCGTGTACAAAAAGACGCATTACGAAGGAGCCCGCAAATACATAGGTTACAAAAATATGGGCGCGCGCAGAATCGTGTATATGAATAAATGATATGTGACGAAAGGAGGCATCAAGAAATGTGCATACGAGGAAACGCGATACGAACAACAGCGAATGCAATGCTTTGCGAATGTCATGTCTTAAGTCATAGGGATGTGTCGATGCGGTGATTTGCGTGCATTAAGTTTCGCGTTGACGAAGATTTGTGCTTAGAAACTTTGCGAACGGCAACATGGCAGATGAGGGCATGCGATACAAAGCTAACGTACGTAGATTCGAGGAGTGTGGGGAGATATAAGGTGCTGAGATCCAATGCGATCAGACTTGTCCTGCGTTGTCTACTGTCAGACCTGTCTTGTATATATCTTGTCTGTCAGACCCGTCTGTCATGGTGATCCGCGGCTAGCACGCCATCGTGTCAAAATGATGCAACAGAGCGCTCGACATATTTGAGTGCCCAAGCAGGTATCCCGAAAACTCTAGAACACGACTCAAGGCGTTCAGGAGCGCGGACAGCTGTTTCTATCGTAAAAAAATAGCCAGTCCTGCCTCCGCAAGATCAGTACGGCTAGCAATGGTCCGGCGAGGACACTGTGGGACAAGCTACCAGCCATCTTCGAGGGAGACAAAGCTGGGAGACCGTCTGCCTCCTTAAACTAGAAGAGGCTACCCTGGCATCCAGACTGGCGAGACTAGCAAAGTTCGGCTCCGAACTGACCGTCACGAGATCCGTCGATTGGTGTTTCAGTACTGTGACAGAAATGGCAGAAAACAATTGCTCACCAGGCGGGTATCCGGCAGGAAATGGTTTCCGTTAAAGGGGCTAGTTCAGGCTGGGCCACGCGCTTCACTACACCTGTGGCTGGTTTCGTGATTCTTGAAGTTTTCGAAAGCGTCGCAAACCTTCGCTTGTCATGCGCGGGTCAGTTCAGACTCAAGTGAAGGAGACAGCGACTAGGCGTTGCTACCCGCACCGGGCTCCATGACAAAGTGATCTGTATGATACCGAACAAATACCCTACATACCTATCACGTTTAAATTAAGTCCATTAATAAAATACTCTGTGTTTTGGCCGTGCTTGTAGCCAGTTTCACAGAGAGAGTGGCGTGCCATTGTGGCATGGAAAGTAGCTTCCCAAGCATTTAGTTTGAATCTGGCTGCTTAAAGTGATGACTAACTATGTACGCCTATGCACGTAAAATTTTACCATTCCCGGGGACATGTGAAGGAGTTTTTCCGTACTTTACCAAGCATCCCTCGGGTTTCATAAACGCAGTCGATTCGACCATGGAGCAGAACTTTTTTCTTAAATGATTTTATCCGAACCAAGGTGATATAGACCAGGTGAAACCATTCCGACAACGCACTTCTCAGCAAGGACCCCTAGTTGACGTCACCGGGGGCACGCCTTTAAAGCTAAGACGGCCGCACGCGTGATGACGGTCTCG